TAGATGTTTTATCCTCACTCTTGTTCACCTCCAAAGTACTCAGCTTTTCAAAACTGCACATTTTCACTATCTCCTCAACCTCTTTCTCTTCCTCAACTGGCTTTCCAAGGAAAGCAGCCACCCCCTTCACAGTGTCTTTTGTATGCACGATCATTTCCTCATAGGTAAGAAACATAATCCTTTCCGGCTTGTCCTTGCTCGCCTTCCAGTACTCAATACAGTTTCAAAAAAGGGCCCAAAGAGAAGAGCGCCTTCGCAAAATCTCTCGAATGTCTCCTCAAAACTCAAATTTTCAAAACCATATAAGGGGAACTTTTTCATGTAGTTACATAAACAATTTGGCAACCACAGTAAGCGACGTGAGTGGTAAAAAGCCTTGGAGATGGGATACTAGTGATATCAGAATCAGGTCCTTTAAGTATATATCGAGCTCTAGATTGGGAATTAGGTCATGTGGGCAGGCGGAAAGAAGAGGGTTTGGTGACTCTTTTTCTTGCTTGAGGCTATGTTGATTGATGATGGAGAAGATTAGGGACTTGAGCCAAGTGGTGCCACATTTGAGGTATTAGGCCACAAAAAGGTCCGTAGAGCACGCCGAGAAGTGTTTATAGGCAGCCATTGCTCCTTGGTGGAGACGGGGGCTGAGCACGAACCCTCTCGATTGAAACATGTTTGTTCCATCGGGCAGCTCCGCCTTGGGCAGGGAGGACGATATGATATCTTGGGGAAAGGTGAAACTATCCATTAGAGAATGTTTAATCGCTCTTTCCTGTGTTTATAGGAGTCTCCCACTACAATTTCAGGCACACTATTAAATATCCTTCTCCCTGTTTAATAGCATTTGCTAGCATAGGTTTATTGAAATATGATGTTACATGTATGCTTATTTTCACGAGGACGACACTAGAGTTCGATATTTTAAATCGTAGTAGCACTCTGCAGTCTGCACATGATTTGAGTCCTTTTCACATAAATCAAAAGTTCAACTAGAAATGAGAAAAATATGATGTTAGAGAGAGATTGTTGAATATAATATAATAAAAGAAGGAAAAAATTTATATAATGTTGCAACCTTAAAATGTAGAACTATGGATGCACCTCAAAAATTCATCGGAAAAGGTTATTTTAATTTTGAAAAACCCTGTACTTGATCATCTTGACATTGAGATGTATGACTACGAAAAATAAAAAGATTTTTTGAGTCTCAAAAGTAGTGCATCTTACAACATATTATCTACACCGTCCATTTTCAAGACTTTCATATGTTTATAGATCTACTTGATTTTAACTATTTTTGGAATTTAAAATTTTATAATTAGCTATAAATATATATTTTGAGATAATCCTAAAAACATTTTACATCAAAATTATATGCTATGATAAAATTTGAAGGTCCACCTTAATTGGATTGTTTAAGGTTGCAACCTTATGGAAACCATACCCATAAAAGAATTCATGCAAGATTAAAATACTTTGTGTTGTGATCCCTCATGTGAAATTTATTATTTAAGATTATGTACAAATCCAATGAACATTTGGTAAAATTTATTGAGAAGACCTACATCTATGAAGTAAACACCCAAAATGTGGGGATCAGATCAGATAACACCGTAAAGGGACCTCGCTTCACGTCCGTTTTTTTTTAAATTTTATTATATTAATTTTCATGTTGTTTCAAATTTGACCTTTTGTGGTAATATCATCTCTATTCCCATACATTCTTACACTCTATATTACTAAAGAGAAATTTACCTGTAATCCCATATAATTATTGCAGTCATGAACTTATCCAGTAATTTATGTAATTACGCGCATATCCCTTTTAGTTCTTTTTTCATTTTCTTTACTAGTTTGCCCTCCCTCCCAATATCCAAAACCCGATAACAAAGCCAGTTGATGGCTTCATATTTTCAATTCATCTTTGATTTTTTAAAATTTTTAAGTAACAACCCAAATTCTTGCTAAGCAGACTACATTGCTGACAAACCATAGTACTAAAAAGAGTCAAAAAAATCACATACCCAAATTCCTACATTTTCTCGTCTTTCTTAATATCTCTCTCTTAAATATGTAGTGGTTTTTATCAGCTATCGTTCTTTGTGATATGGTTTATGCCTCCATCACAATACCAGGATAGCAAGGTTATGAAACATCATTGATGGTGGTGAGAGAAGAATAAAGATGTAAAATTCAGTTATTCTCAATTTAGACCGGTGTTTTTTTGAACCGTGGTTTAGGGGTTGTACGCTTCCGTCTGGAGTCTCTTTTCCTTTCACTCCCATGGTTAAGCACAACCTAGCAATACTTTTAAGGTCATTTTAGGCCATATAATCTCTTCAACCTAGTGATTAATTTTATAAGATTTTAAATTTTCAGACCACAGAATTCAAACTTATTTTGATAACTCGTACAAAGATTCTTACGTGGATTCCAAAATTTTAAGAAAAACAATTCTCAAGCTAGTCTAGGCTATTAAATATATTTAATGATAGCATATTCAAGGGAGTAAGGGTATGTAATGCTCTTGCGTTGCATAGTATAGATACTCATTTTAAAAGGATGCAATTTCTATAAGGCCTGGGCTTTATGAAAGAAGAGTAGCGCCTCGCCTCAAATTCTCATCCGAAAAGCACCTTTGGCACCAGAAATCTCTATGATGGCTCTAAAATTTATTTTGATCAACGATTGTGAAATTTGTGTTGGGATGGATTGGTGAAAAATCAGCAAAGGTTTATAACATTCATAGTTATTGTGCATTCATATCAATATAAACAAACAATAGAAATAACATAGCATCATGGAATGAAAAATACAACAGCAAAAAACCTACAGAGCACAAAGATTTAACGTGATTCGATCACAAAACGTAACCTACATCCACGGGAAAATGGTACGAGGCTTTACTTACTAATTTTGGAATAGTACAATTGAGATCGAGTCCCAGCTCCAAATTCTAATAGCTTTAAATCTCTCTAAATATGGTCCAAACACGCTGCAAAGTGTACTTTCTCTCTCTAAAATAAGGATGGCAACATGGTCCCAAAAACCCAAGTGTATGCCCATAAAACTCTATTTTCTCTCTCTACAAATTGGGGGAAAACAAGGCTAGCAGTAAACCCTACATGTGCTCTCATTTTCTTCCTTCTCTCTTTCTTTTCTCTCTCTAAAACAAAAGGGAAACAAAACAATCTTTGGATTAGAAGCCAATCCCATGGCCTAGAATAAGAAAAAAAAATTCAACACAAAATATTAAACAAATGAAGTCCAAAAACTCACTTATGTGATTTGGCTTCACACATACAACAATTTGAAGCTAAAAAAATGGTACAGATGGTGAGTATCTATGCACACTTACTTTTAAGGTAAAATGGACAGTCTAAATAATTATTTACAATATACAATATTTTTAGGGCTTATTGATTTGAAGGCTTTTTTATGCCAAAAAAAACTATTTTCGGTGAGTTCTAAGGTAAGTCTTTACTTATTTTAACAGGGCTGCAACCCAATCAAAATGTCTTCCTTTTAAAATCCAAAAGTGACTTATAAAAAAAATAACATGAAAATGTTTGTATAAAGGCGGGGCCCTAAACAATCAAATTAAGTTGCACCTCAAAAATCACTAGAAGAGGGTCGATGCTAAAAAAATCCTCAAATTGATCATCTAGATTTCAAATTGTTATTTTTAAAGCTTTAAATTTTATAATTAGAGATTAAAACAAATTGTTAGATCATCACAAAGATTTTCAATGCTAAATCAGTACCTTCAACACAATGTTTAGAGCCTTACCCTTATACAAACCACACCGAAATTAATAAGGAGCCAAGCTTATGCAATAGGTTGGTAAGCATGCATCTCCTTTAAATGGGCATATAACATGCTCGTGAATAACCTGGGCTTTGGCAATGAAAAGAAAGCATTCAAAGGGTCCACTTGGTCATATAACTATGACTCCGTGAGTTTATATTTTTTATTAATCGTCTAAAAAGTGAGCAAGCATAAGAAAACGTAGATTTTAGGTTGTTTAATCATGCTTTAAATATATTTTTTATATTTTATTATTTTTTTTGTATTAGTTTATTTTTTTAACACTGTTTTGACGGTTCGAACTTGCCTGTTTAAACCGATTTACCAATTAGTACCAAGTAACTACTTCCGGCCCCATGTCCGGATTACCATACCAGTTCGATTTTTTCTATACCAGTTGCACCTCAAACAAAAATCTTCAATATGGATTACGGACCCAAAACGCCTCCCGCAAAACTAACTTCAGATCTTCATTGTGGAATTTGGAGCGCAAAAAATAGTCGAAATCTGACATATACATGACTTAAAATGGACAAAAAAAAAAAAAAAACATTGCTAGATAGACCTAGGGCTTAAAATTCTTCTTCTTCTTTTTGCTAAATATTATTAGCTAGATACTTTATAAGAATTGAACTAAAGACGGGGACACAATCCACCTTGCCTTTGAGGCCATTCTCTCTTTCCAAAGTGTGGCTAAATTTGTCGTTGTCCTTTACTTGGGCGTTGGGTTTGGAAACCATATTAAATAAGTGAAGCAATGGAATCATCAAGCTCAATTTTGAAATACCTTCGGGGTTCACGATCCTAATAGAAAACTTGCGCCACTTTGCTCTTTCAAAACTTCAACTTCAAGTTTGACAAATTGCCACATTAATTTAAAACTACGCACAAGCGGCACCTCACTTTCCAATCTCACATGTATAAATATTGTTTCCTTAGAATTCTTCTGAATGCCTTTGAGAATAGAGAAAAGATTTGGTCGCTGGCGAGTCCACCATCACCGAATGATATGGTAATTATTTATGGGGATCCTTTAACAGTGCTGCTTTTGTCCACCTCTCACATATATATATATATATATATATATATAAACACACGGAAGAAGGGCACTTGATAAAAGTATTTTTCCTTACTTTTCTGGTTTTCGGATTCGTGTTAGCGCGACTTAACGGTGACTGTTCCCATCCCTTCGTAGATGGCGGTTTCCAGCTTGTCCCAAGATCTCCCAGCCACCAAACTTTTCAGCGGTATTGTCATGTATCAATGGCAAGGCTATTGGTATCCACCTAGTCATCTCGAGGCTGCAATGGATGTTTCTAAGCATTTCGTGGCTCATCCCGATGACATTCTCTTGGCCGCGGCCCCCAAAACTGGCACCACTTGGCTCTCAGCCCTCCTCTTCTCTATAGCCAGCCATGGCCTCATCCCAAAAGAAGAGGCGCACAAGCTTATCCTATCAACCCATCCTCATGAACTCATTCCACACCTTGAAACTGAATACAAAAGACCACAAAACTTCCACTTCCTAGGCTCTTTAGCACACATATACCTTATAGCACCTTGCCTGAGCCTTTGAAGGACTCTGGTTCTCGAATTATTTATATCAGCCGCAACCCGAGAGATGCATTTGTGTCGCTTTGGCACTTTTCTCAGAAGATACAGAGAGGAAACTCAGACCCATTGACATTTGAGGAGGCATTTGAGCAATTTTGTGAGGGTAAGACCGCCTTTGGCCCCTTCTTAGAGCATGTCTTAGAGTATTGGAAAGCAAGCCAAGAGAGAACACAAAACATTTTATTTCTCACTTACGAAGAGATGAAGGCGGATACCAAGGGTGGGGTGAAGAGGATGGCTCAGTTCTTGGGTCGATCCATTGAGACAGAGGAGGAGGTTGAGGAGATAGTGGACATGTGTAGTTTTGAGAGGCTGAGTAACTTGGAGGTTAACACAAGTAAGGAGAAGTCACCTTGGGCGTTTTTTCCATACAATTCATTTTTCAGGAAGGGTGTGGTGGGAGATTGGGTAAACTATTTCACCCCTGCGATGACTGAGCGGCTCGATCGGATCATTCAAGCGAAGATCCAAGGGTCCGGACTACAATTTAGATTCGAATAGAATCGAAGGTAATGTCCTTAGGAATGGGATCAAGGCTTGGTGGTCTGAGTGGTGGTGCGCCACAACGTGACATTTGTTTCATTCCTACCACAGTTACAAGAACCCTTCCTACTGAACTACAAAATAAAAAACAGAGGCCTAGGTCTCTGTTTCCTTTCCCCTGGAATTTTTGTGTGGTTTTTGTATCTTCACTGATCTCCTTTACTGGGGAGTGTATTGTGTTATTTTGCTTTATTTAGAAAGCTTTTAAATGGAAAGGAATTTTCATTTCTTTAATTTTCAAGGTGTTTATTTGATAATATGATTCCAAATTACATGGATTGATGAATCATGAACACCACGTGATGATGCAGCTCGTCTTTTAAAGAGCAAATTACATACCGACACTATTGGAGGGGGTTAAATTACCAAATGGGTTTGTATTTACTCGAAATTACGATCACCAGCCATTTTTCTCTCCCAAAGTATTTTTTTTCTAAGTTGCATTCTGTTCCTTTTCTTGTCCGGTACTTCAAATACCAGATAGCTCATCTTTTTCTTCTTTCTTCTGTTTTTGAATCTTCATCATTCTCTCTCTAAATCAGTGGTTTAAAAAACGGATCAGTGCCCTGGATCGGATACCCTATAAACCAGCGTTTTAAAAAACGCCGAGTCGAACCGGACTCGCCCTGTTCGACTCGGAATTCGCGGAAAGGGGCCGGATCGGTTGAAAAATCGGAAATCGTCCGGTTCTAGAGAGAACCGGACGATTCCGCATAGTGACTCGCCGATTCACTGTACGGAATCAGCGAGCTCGAACAGTGAATCGGCGAGTCCGTACGAATTTTTTTTTTTTTTTGTTGTATAATCCATGATAAATTTTTTTGTAATACTTGATCGATTTTTTTGTAATTCATGATCGAATTGTTTTTGTTTTTTTGTAATCCATGATCGAATTTTTTGGTTTTTGTAACCCATAATAGAATTTTTTGTAATCCATGATCGAAATGTTTGTTTTCTTTTCTTGTAATCCATGATTCGCTTTTTTTTGTTTTTTTTTTTTTTAGTAACCCATTGATTAGAATTTTTTTGTAATTCCAT